ATGGGCTGGAGATGGGTCCAGTGCACCTCCTGCCCCCTCTAGTCTGGGGCCTTCTTTCTCCTCATGAGCTCTCAAAGTCACACCTACCCTCAGGCTCAACTTTCTGCTGCAGTGTGGAGTCCTCCATGGCCTACACATGGGTATCTGCTCTGCTGTTGAATCTTCAGGGGCTGTAGGGGACCTCATTGACCTTCTCCTGCTCTTCTTCGTGCTGATCTGTGTGTCTGAAGATCTCGGTCTCCCCTCCTCCTCCTCCTCCTTCTTCATGGCAATGATGCTCTTTTGTTAAGGCCAGTGGTCTTTTGTTCAAATCAGTGGTCTCTCCTGATGATTCTCTCTCCTTCCTTTTCAAACCAGTTCTTCCCTCATAAATATTGATTCTCAGAGGCATTTGCCTGTCACTGACTGAGTCAGCCTGGGCTGGAGGCAGGTCTGCCTTGAAGCCAGGGGAACTTCTTGAATCTTCTCACAGGAGCCATCACTGTAGCCCCTTCCCACACTACCAAAAACACCCCCCACCCCACACAAACCCAACACATTGATAAAGACAGTTCTCTGTATAGAAACACCCCAAATATATTTTTAATTCTATTGTATGTATTTACTTAATACCAAGAACTACACTTCTAACAGCATTATATTGCTGGTAAGCTTTCCAGTGGTTTAAGCATTTCAACTTCTTCATTCCCTCGTCTTACCTCTCCTGTTGTTGGCTTCATAACCTTCCATAACGTGTTGTTTTTTTAAATAAATTGCTGCCTTTCAGATTTCTGAAGTTGCTGTGAATATCTGCATAGGTGGCCAGAAGGTCCATGCTGGATACTTAGCTGGCTGCCTGGGGCTCAGGAAAAAAGTGCTGTCTTTGGAGCTCAGGCTTTAAGATCTCTTCCTGAAGCCATCTATTGCTGCAGGTTTTAAATTCCTAACTTGTCTGAACTCCAACGTGAAGAATTCACAAGAGCCATAGACCGTACTGGTAGAGGGAGGGTATGGCTGAGTTAAGCTTTTGCTGTAAAGAAAGTGTCAGAAGTAAAAACATTTTTATAAAAAGAAAGAAGGGAGGAAGGAAAGGAAGGGAGGAAGGGAGGAAGGAAGGAAGGAAGGGAGGAAGGAAAGAAAAGAAAGAAAGAAAGAAAGAAAAAGAAAGAAAGAAAGAAAGAGAAAGAAAGAAAGAAAGAGAGGGAGGGAGGGTTGTGCAGGAAGATCACTTGCTAGATTATTTGTGATTTGAATTACATCTTCCTCCTGAAATTGTGTTTTGCAGGTACAGATGTGAAAGATGCCCTGGTAATAAGTGTTTCTACGGGAACAAAATGCATCAATGGTGAATACATGAGCGATCGTGGTCTTGCATTGAATGATTGCCACGCGGAAATTATATCTCGCCGGTGCCTGCTTAAATTTCTGTATGCACAACTTGAGCTTTATCTCAGGTAAGCTGGAGGGAAAGGGAAGATGAGCTGATCACGTGGAGCTGAAAAGGTGTCTGTGTAAAACATCCATCGTCTTAATTATTTCAATGTGAAACACTTGTCCTCTTGCAATAGGATGTTTAATTGAGAACTCAGACCCTTTGCCCTGAAGTTTGACTTAAACAAAACATGTATTCAGGTCGGTGTCAATCACGAGAGGGGAGGACAGAAAAAAATAATTGGGGATCATTTTGTAAACTACAAACACGTAAATCAAAATAATCTCCAGTGGGCTAAAGGGTGGTGGTGATTTATTTGCTGGTAAGTGCCCGAAAGCTCTTGACATCTGGGGCTGTCAAGGGCTCTCTGTGCTTGTCTCGACAGTCTTTCAATTTCATTATTTGTAATGACTGTTAGATTTATACTATAAAATTTCCAGACATCCCATGTTTGTTTTTAATGCCTATTAAGACTACCCAGCTTATTGGTTATTTATGTGTTAATGTCAGTTTTCATTCTAACTTTCTTCTCTGTTTCAGCAATAAAGAAGATCAACAAAAATCCATTTTTATCAGATCGGAGCGAGGCGGGTTTAAGCTGAAGGAGAATGTGCAGTTTCATCTCTATATCAGCACATCTCCTTGTGGCGACGCTCGAATTTTCTCACCCCATGAAGCAGCACAAGAGGGTATGACAGCAATCCTACTTGAGCAAGGGAGTTTTGAAGTATTCTTTGTGCATATACAAGTGGCACAGTTAAAATTTAGGTGTCTTCTTTCCTTTTAGTGTAGATGTGTGTTAGACAAAGATCTCTCCAAAAATAAATCTGAGCTGTTCTTCCTGTGTGGTAGAAGTTAAGTGTAGAGTGATCCACCATGTGGTCTTGAAGAGCCTGAATGCTAGCGGAGATAAGCCAGTGAGTCAGCAAGTGTTTGTACAGAACTAACCACGCTGTTTCACTGTTTCCACCTTTTCATGGCGGTTGTCTGCCTGCCCCTTTCTCGATCTCTCCATTAACTTCATGCTAACACTGTAATGCCCACAACAGAATTGAAGGGTGTGGTGGTTTCACCCTTTTGGTTTACAACCAGACACAGCCTGCTCTCTCACTCTGCCCCCCTCCAGAGAATGGGGGAGAGGATTGGAAAGAAAAGGGCAAGGAGATTCCTGGGGTGAGATAAAAACTATTTACTAATTAAATTAAAATTGTAATGATAACAACAGCAATAACAGAATATGCAAATGAGTGATGCCCAGTGCAGTTGCTCACCACCCACTGACCGATGCCCAGCCTGTCCCAGCCAGTGATCCCGGAGCAGAGACAGTCCCCAAACCCAAACCCTGGAAGAGTGAGAGCCCGAGTGATCCCCGAGAGAATTCCCTGATTTCCGGTCAGCCCTGGTTAATGTACTGACCTTGACATGATATGATCTGGGATATCTCATTGGCAGAGCCAAATGCCAATTTGGGTTTTGCTAATTACTACACATCCCCCTCCCAGTCCTAATGCAGCTGTGAACCAGCCAAACACGATGACCTTGGGCTCCAGCAGCAACTCATAACATTAGTACTTTATCAACATTCTTCTCATACCAGATCCCACACTGAAACCAAACCACAGCTATTCGAGCTGCTAAGAAGAAAATTAACTATCTGTCCTAGCAAAACCAGGTCAAAGAGCTACCTATTGCCTACTGCTCCGTTGTGGAAAGCTTGGTTTGATTGCAAACGTGTTTTAGAAGGCAGTATTTGTGAGAGCCGTTGGATGCTGCAGCTAATTTGCAAAGAGCAACAGAAGTTGTTATGCCAAGCCAGCAGTTACGCAGAAAAATACCTTTAATCACCTGTTTTTATTGTAATACTCTCTACAAAACACATGGAGAATGTTTCTCAGCTGATGTAAGTGATTTTTGTCATTTAGATCAAGGGGACAGGCATCCAAACCGCAAAGCGAGAGGACAACTACGGACAAAAATAGAATCTGGGGAAGGGACCATCCCTGTGCGCTCCACTACCACTATCCAGACGTGGGATGGCGTGTTGCAAGGAGAAAGGCTACTTACCATGTCCTGCAGTGACAAGATAGCGAGGTGAGATGTCACGATTGGTTTCTCTGCTGTTGCTTTTGTCGCTGAACAAGAAGGGAGGGTTGCATGATACCTGCAATGAGCGTGTCAGTTATCGATGGGCTCATTTCATTGCTTAGACCTAGCGTGGGGTGGCTGTAGCTCCAGTGATAAAGCTCTGATTCATCACCTGCAGTTGGTGTCAGACCTTCTGCTGGCTTCAGAGGTGAAATCATTCTCTATCATTCCAGCATTTCAAGTCGCAACAGCTTTGTTTTGTATTTATATCACTGGAAAATAGCAGAAGAATGCTTTTCCCCCCCTAAAATAGTATAACATTAGCAAAACAGTACCATAAATACATTACATTAGTTATATTTGGATAACTTCCTCTGATGATACACATCTTTGCCCCATCATCCAAAACATTCAAGGCCAGGTTGGATGAGGCTTTGAGCAACCTGGTCTAGTGGAAGGTGTCCCTGCTGATGGCAGGGGGGTTGGGACTGGATGAGCTTTAAGGTCCCTTCCAACCCTAACTAGTCTCTGATTCTATGACATCAAAGATATGTACATGTTCCATGGATAGATTTAGAGTTGCATTATTTTATACAGGGAGAAAGTGTTCCAGTTAAAAAAACCTTAATTGATGGGCACTTTTTAACTTTAAAATTATTTTACTTTTTGTTGAAATATTTTTACTGTATCTAAATATCTTGTTTTCAATACTAGTTCTTTTATTAGTATTTTATCCTATTCCTTCTTTGTTGTCCTTTTTGGCAACGATTAAAAGATTTATTTTCAAAATCATAAATGGACAAATGATCAGCTCCCAAAAAAATTTAGCAGAAGAATCAGAAGTATGGGAGAGTTGCAACAAAATTTTTTGAAATGAGTCTGTGTGTTTGCAGCCTCTGTGTTCTTACAAAATAAAAATGACAAGTTTTTCAGCTACTGATATTTTAGTTCTTTTTTAATTAAAATAGCTGCTGTTTTGTCAAGTCACAGCCTGATTCAAAATTTAAGTGTCTTAAGTTGGAACTGTCCTTGTGAACTGTCTATGCCAAATCAGAAATACGGGAGGAAGGTTATGTCATCTCTTTTTTCCCTATAGTCTTGTCTCAAGTAATCAGCATCTCTAACAAAGGAAGACATTTGACTTTAGCTTAAATCCCCCCTAACATAAATGGATAGGACCTTTCAGAAGCTAGGACAGTGGGTTGTTGAAATGTAATTTTACAAAAATGACATTCCAGTTTCTTTAATAATACTTTCAATAAAGGTCATCAAATAAATTCCCCAGCTTCATGCCAGGGATTTCTCCCAACCACCCGACCTGGTAATTGTGCTACATTCCTTTAACTTCTTTTATCATATCCTCATTGCTGTTAGTGCAGATATAAAAAATAAAAAAGCAAAGAAGTTGTTGAGCCAGAACACATTTGACTATTTTGTTGATTTTGTGTGATGCAGAACAGAATCCATCTCTCGTTTGCATAGCTAGCTGTCACCTCTCCTTGGGGCTAATGGCAATAATTTTGTTTGTGCCAGTGAAGGAAGCAAATAGAACCCTTTGACACAGAACAAAGACTATATGACGGGTAAGGAGGCCCACATTTTCATATTCTTTTTTTTCCTTTTCTTTTTTTTTTTGTTTTTTTTTACATTTCCCTGACACTTATGACCATGTTTTGTCCATTTACATTTGAGAGAATGCATTGCTCTGTAGTGTCCAGCAGTCAGTCCTCCAGTGTGCCTGAGCCCTGTGAATTTCACTGAGCTTTCACGAAGGTTCACAGTCCCAGCCTGAAAAAGTCATGGAAAAATTCATGGTGCAGGACTGCACAGGCAGGAAGACTCCTTGTAACTCCACAGCCTCATCTGTGTGGATTATATTTGTAATCCAACCTGGCTTTCCCAGCGTCAGAGCGCTTTGTTGCACTGTGCTGTCTAGCATCATCTTGAACCTGGTAGGAACTTCCAAGAAAAATTGTGAGAAAAATTTAGGACAAGTGGAAATGGGCTCCAGTTGTGGCCAGGGCAGTTGAGATGGGATGTGAGGAAGAATTTCTTTGCTGCAAGGGTTCTGAGGCATTGGAAGGGGTTGCCCAGGGCAGTGGTGGAGTCCCCATCCCTGGAGGGATTGAAGAGTGGTGTAGACACAGTGCTGAGGGACATGGGTTAGTCATAGGGGACTTGTCAGTGTTGGGTTCATGGTTGGACTCAATGATCTTAAAGGGCTTTTCCAATCCAGGCAATTCTGTGACAGACCATGTGTGGAATCCCATTTGGGTCAGAAGCATTAGAACTGGACTGTCCTAGTGTTTCAGTGCCTGGTGGCACAGCAGTACAGTGTTAGGGTGGTTTCTGTGACCAGAGTAACTCTTTTGGGACAATATACATGCATTTGTCTTAAATGTATCCTATCCTTGTTCCGTGGTACTTTATGATGCCCATTTTTGTCATTCTCCTTTTGGTGTGTTTTTCCGCCCACATTCATTTTAAGTTTTTTGGCTTTAAAGAATTACTCAACTACCCCAGAAACATTCCAGTTGTGGCTAATGTCTTACTGAGAAGAGCAAAAAAATATTTTTTTCACCTTGTTTCTTTGGTAGGAAGGCTGTAGGAATTGGGGAGAGCTTTAACATTAAGTCAAGTTGTAAAGGGGAAGTCATTGGTGCTCTTCTACTCTAAAGAAGGGAAATTATTTCTGATAATCTTGTGTGTGAAAGAACATCACGTGCCCACGCAGTGGCCTTGTTTTATGCTTATTCAGAGTGTTAAATCCAAATGGAAGCTTGTAACTCGGTCTTGCTCTTTATTTCCCCGATGGCTTTATCTTCTTGACCCTACCACCTAGTTTTTTGGGAGTGATGAAGTTGCACAAACGCATCTTAAAATCCCACACATGCTCTCTAAAGGCTGCGTGTTCTGCAGCTACGTCCATACCCATCCATCTGTCTTTGAGTTGGAGAGTTATTTCTAAGTGACAAGCTCCACGGTGGAGCCGGTGTGATTTCTGAACAGCCATAGAAAGAGCAGTTCTCCTCACCAGTTCTTAACCCAAGTGACGGTGGCCAATGTGAATGTATTCACTTTGATATGTGGTGGCTGTGTGACACCTAGGTAAAAAACCTGGGGGAAAGTGGTAGGAAACCACTACCCAAGGTGTGGCATCTAAATAACCAGATGTAGCTTGATGTAACCTCTCAAACCAGTGACCCGAGTCTTGACCCAGGCTCACTGGTATGCAGCAAATCCAGGCAACACCAGAAAAGCCTGGACAAGTCAGAGCTGTGTGGTTGTCAGCCAGGGAAAATGGATCCTCCTACCTGTAGTTACAAATCTGACCTCAGGATGAATCAAAATGTCTTTGCAAGAAGTGCTACTGTCAAAGACTACGGACTTCTTGCGCTTACTGATTTCTAGTGTGGGCCGCTGTCCGAACCACTTGACGTAGAAGAAGCTCTGACTCCACTCCACGTAAAGATATAGTTGCCTGTGTATGCTGTGGCTCAAGAAACACATGGGGTGGTCACAGAGATTCAGGTAATATCTTAAGGAGAAAAAGAGAAATCGGATTTAAAATCAGAAAAGAAATCAGACTGCAGTTAGTTGGATGAAGTCAGCTCTGCCCATTCATTCTGACAGATGATGAGAGTAGGACCAGGGAAGTTCTCTTCCCCCTGCACTGGGCACTGGTGAGGCCGCAGCTGGAGTGCTGGGTTCAGTGTTGGGCCCCTGAGTCCAAGAAGGACATGGAGGTGCTGGAGCGTGTCCAGAGAAGGGAACGGAGCTGGGGAAGGGTCTGGAGCACAAGTGTGCTGAGTTCCCTTGTGGCTGAGGGAACTGGGGGTGTTGAGCCTGGAGAAAAGGAGGCTGAGGGGAGACCTCCTGGCTCTGTCCAAGTCCCTTGGAGGAGGGTGGAGAGAGGTGGGGGTGGGTCTGTTCAACCAAGGCCCAAGGGACAGGACAAGAGGAAATGGGCTCCAGTTGTGGCCAGGGCAGTTGAGATGGGATGTGAGGAAGAATTTCTTTGCTGCAAGGGTTCTGAGGCATTGGAAGGGGTTGCCCAGGGCAGTGGTGGAGTCCCCATCCCTGGAGGGATTGAAGAGTGGTGTAGACACAGTGCTGAGGGACATGGGTTAGTCATAGGGGACTTGTCAGTGTTGGGTTCATGGTTGGACTCGATGATCTTAAAGGGCTTTTCCAATCCAGGCAGTTCTGTGATTCTGTAAAGCCCAGCTAGATGGGTGTCCATAGCAAACACATCATGACCTGCCCAGCATGGGTCTGAGTTGAAGTTGAGCAGCAGAATTGTCCCTGCACATGAATGAGGAACCAAAGCAAACTTGGTTGCAAAGGCAGACAAATGCTTGTCACCGAGCTGCAGAGGTGAAGGCCACCGCAGGGCTCTGCAAGCATCCCTGGGGATGCTGCTGGCCCCAAACTTGGCAGGCTGATCACAGCAGTCTTGGAAACCAGAAACATGCAGGAAAACCCACAGATATGGCCTCTGCAAAGCCTAGCACCTTCTGTTCAGAGCGAGCAGGAGCCTTTGGGTCTGTGGCTTCCAGCATCTCCATGGTAAGAAGCAAGTGGCCCCACATCTGGGGTGCACATCAGTCATGGGGAGCTCTCGCTTCACGTTGCAATTGGAAAGATTTTGAAATCTTGTTGGTGTCACAGTAAGGTGAGCCAGCCTTGGGGACATCTCCCCGAGACAGCTGCCGTCTGAGCTGTGCACCTCTGCCATGGAGGAGGACAGGAGGTGCACGTGAGGAGGCAACATGCGTTCTGGGGATAGTCTGACATCTTCTCACACGTTGATACCGTCTCTCCCTTGCCACCAGTTGCAAGTAAAAGATTGTCATGAACAAAATGCCTCCTAAATAATTTTCCTTTGTTCATAGTCATTGCTGGTTATAAATGACATCACTAAGAGCAGCACTTTGAGTTGTAAACACTTGTTTTTGTCAGGTTTTGCAGTCTGTCGGAAAGATACATACAGGAGGTGGGTTTAA